AATAAAAAAAATAAAATTGTAAAGAAAGGAAAGATAGCAAACCAAAATCAGTTTTTTAGACTTTGAACAGAAGTGAGAGTATTTTTAAAAGAGATGGAATAATAAAGATGACAAAGTGAGGAGAATATCAGCTGGATTACAATTACATTCCATTAACCTACTTTTAATTTAGTAACACCAATGAGATTTCGTTATCTGACAAACGTCCACGAAAGAGATTGAAAAGGTTGAATTTAGTTCATAAGAATGAAAAACAGTCAAACGAGAATGTTTACGGATATTTGATCATAGGTATCTCCAAAGTACTGTTTGCAGATTCTTGACTGTAGAATGAGCGAAATACCTGAAAAGTTACAGAATGACGATGTAAAATCTGTTTATAAAGTCACGGACTTGTCACTGTATGTGGTAACTAAACTATATATATTTTATACTTCCTATCTACCACTGGTTAAAACCGGAGCAAGTCAAGGAGAGTCTAGGGTTCCTCAGATCAAATTATAGTATCATTACGTAAAACCATAACAATTTTTCATGGGCCGAGTAATGATTTCAAAATGTTTTAGTTACAAATATAATTATAATAGGTAACTGGAGATTTTTCTGAATACCGTTTTAATACCTCATGGAAACGCATATCAAAATAATAGGATATAGTTTCCAACTAAACATTGATTTCAGAAGGAGTTTTTGTGGATATTGTCGTAATTTTAGTAGTTGATATCATGAGCCATTTGAAGCTAGACAACCATGGAAAACCTGGAAGCACTGAAACTCTAGAACACTAAGCCGGCATCCGACGGTGTTAATGTTGAACTTTAACTAATCCACGAAATCCAGTGACATATCCACCACTATCTTCAGTGTGTTATTATCTCATAACAGACTTGGTTGAACTCCACTGGTCACTGCTTCTCACTAGAACGTCAGGAAATACTTCTTGAATCCAGTCTTTAGTGAGCATATGTTGATTAATATCAGAGGGTGTTTTTGTGAATGTTATAGTAATTTTAATAGTTGAGATCATGAGTCAATTGGAGCTAGACTACCACACACAATAGGACGAAACGGCCGTCCAGTACTTTCAGGTTTTCCATGGTGGTCTAGCTTCAATTGACTCATGATGTCAACTACTAAATTTTAATTATTTTAAAGTTAGCAACAATCTCTGTTCATAGGAATACCATATTATTCACCATATTGAACACTGGTTACTTTCATCTATAACAATATCAAGTCATACAGAGCAATAAAAATCTTAAAAACTGACTACTCACATGTTTAATTATGTAGTATTTACATCGTACGGCACAACAAACTGTCAAGTTATACATGCTTTTCATTAAACAATTATATACTGATTCACTTGGTATTGTTTGTTTGACTCTTCCCATTGATGTTTAGGACTGCAATTGATCAGTCTCTTATTAGCATATGTGCATACTGCGCGTATTGCCAAGATATAGCCTTAATTCACAAGCATTATAAGCAAAGATGTATAGTGACTAACAGTGTAACGCGATGCCGTTTGAAGCGAAAGGTACTGGGTTCGAGTGAACATCAACTCTGAGATGTAGGTAGATCCATCTGAGGAGTTCCAAATAGGACGAAACGGATTCCACTGCTAGCCACCATCCATCTTTTACAATTGATTGATCACTGGGTGGTGATCAATGTCATGTGTATCAAGTCCTTCTTAGTGCTGATCGAATGCTATTGATCAAGTTTCAATGTGGTCACTAGTCTAGGTGAATCAACACTGCGTGCACTATGTTGAGATAAGATGGTGGTCAACAGGAAACCCTGGATCTGGGTTTCGTGCTACTTGGCACTCGTCAGCAAGGTGTACCTTTGCTTAATTATATACCGACAAAAAATATAGTTTATTGTAACAATGTAACATTTATAACATAGGTATAAATAAAAATACTAAGACATAGATAGATACGAATGTTAAAATTTGACATGTTCATTGAATCAATCACACTGTCTACTCATAAACATTAAACAAGTCATTTCTATATTATTCAAATGTTCACTTTGATCACAATATCCATAATTTTGCAACATTTTTATCTACTTATGATCTTCACTTATTTAATCTGGAATATTTTTTAAAGTTCTATAGAACGGTACACGTTTTTAATGAAAATCTCTGTTTCATAATAACTGTTACTGTAAATAATTATGAAAAAACGTAACTAAAAGTATTCTGTTTTTGACTGGAATAATAATAATGTCTGGTAACGATTAATTAAGTGAATACCAATAAACACATCAAATTACACACATTATTAAATTTATTGTATTCTACAATGCTTAGTACTAACTAATATAGCCAGATTGAAAAAAACCCATGTCTATCAACTTTTGATTACTGGTTTCAAGGAAATAAGCAATACTGAATTTGAATTCACTTAGTATTGTTTGTTTGGATCTTCCCATCAATGTGTTTAGGACTGCAACTGGTCAGTCTCTAATTGGCATATGTGTATACTGTGCGTATTGCCTCGATATACCTTAATTCACAAGCATGGTAAGCAGAGATGGATAGTGGCTAGCGAGGGTACTGGGTTCGAGTCCCAGAGTGAACATCAACTCTGAGATGCAGGTACATCCAGCTGACGAGTCCCAAATAGGACGAAACGCGCGTCCTGGATTCTACTGCTAGCCACTATCCATCTCTGCTTATCAATACTGAATTTGTTATCTATAGTTGTTATTCTGACGAAAGATTTTAAATAAACGTCTATAGTGTTTTGATCCAAAATGTAACTACAACTGGTTGTAAATATCTTAATTACAAGCTATTTAAACATTTAAAATTACACGTATGAGAGTATATTTTTGATTTGTTAAGGTATTCCAAAGATTATTGAAACATTTACTGTAATTACGTTGTTTGTTTATATACTATCCAGTATATATATGAGTACACCCTTATGAATACAAATGAATTGATGCTCATTTTCTAATTTGATTCCTTTATTTTCATTTGTCGAAAATATACATTGTAAGCAAAAATATATAGTGTCTAGTAGTGGAATTCAGTTCGATGCGCGTTTCATCCTATTTGGGACTCGAACCCATTACTGTTCGCTCCATACACCATCGCATTATCCGCTCAGCTACTGAGTCCTGAAAGCCACTTGCCTGTGCATAGGGGAAAACTTTAAATTCACGAGTCCCAAATAGGACGAAACGTGCGTCCTAGATTCCACTGCTAGCCACTATCCATCTCAGCCTACAATGCTTGTGAATTAAGGCTATATAGAGGCAATACGCACAGTATGCACATATATCAAATAAATACTGACCAGTTGCAGTCTTGAACAACAATGGGAAGATTCAAACAAACAATGCTAAGTGAATTGAAAATAAATATTGTTTGTAATTTTCATTTATATTTACTAAGAATAAACTTAGAAATACCTAGATTACATAATATGGAATCCACATTAAAAATAAAGTGAGTTATGAATATGTTAATCTTTCATATCATTGATGGGTTTTAGCAAGATTAAAATAAGTTATTAACTATTGATAATTTTTATATCCAATTGATCGATTATCTTATCTTTTATTTTGTCCATTAAAAGTAGATAAGACATATATGTTCAGTTCAATCTGTCTAGAACATTTATATAATCAGAATCATAATTGTATTAAATTAGAATATATCACTCGCTGTTATAGAATATCAGATAAAGAAAATTGGGTAGTTGTAGTGAGCAGTAAATGTGTAATAATAATAATGTCTAGGCTACTTATAATTTCGGGTTGGCTGATCTGTCAAGGGCGATGGGACAGTGCATGACAGTATTGTTATATGCTAGGTTCAAAGAGAATTGTTTGTCATATGCATGCAAATCCGCCCCGTTATTTTTCCTCCTTATAATTTTGTGTAGGCAGTAATGATTTTCTTAGTAAAATTAACAATTCATATATCTATATTTTATGTTATCTGACATAAAATTTTAGTACAAGTTTATTAATATTTTATATGATGATAAATTATCATTAAAAGTAAATATAAGTAATATAATGCGTGGTAACATAATTTTGTAAACTAAAACATTACATCATTGATTAACTTTTCCATCCGATTTTTTTTTTTAAGTATCTACACCAAGAAAAATAATCATGGCTAATTTTTAATCAGCTAAATCATATTTGATAATTAATATTTTAAGATTTCTCTAGCTTTTGACAACATAAGGGTTTTTGTAGAGATTTAGTATTTTCATAGTTGAAAGCGTGAGTCAATTGAAGCTAGACCACCAGAGAAAATCTGAAAGCACAGGGTGATCCCACTGGATACATTTTTGTCAAAGTTTTCCGTTAGATTACTAGTAGACTAATTACTTTATTATTATTATTATCAGAAAAGGTTTTTTGTGGAAATTTAAGAACTTTATAGTTGAAAGCGTGAGTCGATTGAAGCTAGACCACCATGGAAAACTGAAGTACTAGACGGTTATTTGGTCCTATTGTGGGACTCCTCAGCAGTGCGCATCCACGATCCTGCCTCGTGAGATTCGAACCCAGGACCTATCAGTCTCGCGCACGAGCACTTAACCGATAGACTACTGACTCATTATGTCAACTATATAAAATTACTACAATCTCCACAAAACCCGCTTCTGATAATATTTGTTATATTAATTTGTGCAATTGTATCATCTGGGTGTCAGTAACAATTATTATATCCAAATAACTCAATTATCAATGAATAATACTAGATAAAGATGTAGTCAAAACATTTATATGTTATCATTATTATTAAGTAGTATACGAAATAAAAGTACCTGAACTTTTGAACATGAGATACAATAGAAACACAAATCATTAATCCCATAGCTAAATTATAAAATAAATCAATATTTTGTTTACAAAATAAAATCATGTTTACTTAAAAATTAGTAAATAAAACTTTTTTTATAATTTTTATTTTGTTCCCCCCCCCACGGAACTGTTAAAAAATACTTAATTACTGAAAGTACTTCAATGGAGATGCCATATAGAAATGAAAAATTAATTTTCAAAAATGAACTATTAAATGTTAAGCAAAAAATTGATCAGTTTAATCAATTTGCTTCTAATCAAGTGGTTAAATCTCATAGTAGTATACCAATTATAAAGTTGAATAATAATGAATTTCCTTGGATAAATGAACGAATCTATTTGAGACCAATGAACAAAATATTTAATCATTGGAATTCAAATGAACAGCTAAATTCAAAGTCAGTTATTTTGCCAAATATAACCAATTTGTCAAGCATGCACAATCAGCACAATCATGAAGGAGCTATTGATTCTAATTATGATTCACTTTCAGTTAAAGGCATATTCAAACATATAGATCATAAATCTAATCAACTAAAAAGTAATTTACCAACAGATAAACAATCTAAGTATCATGAGACTAAACGTGAACAATCATTCACAATTTCTAATCATCAAAATGGATCAGATAAAAATTCTTCTCAAATTGAACATAATCAACTACTCATTAATAAAAAATTAGGAAATCAAAAAGAAGACAATAACAACAACAACAATAATAATCGAACTGCAAATGAATTTATAAATAATAAAATAGTACAAAATTGTAATCTATTGTCTGAACAGTTCACAATATGCATTTATAGAAATTCTAATGAAAATTTAGGATTTTCAGTATCACGTAGGTTTTTCAATTATAAATATTAATTAATCAGTTGTTTATTATCAGGAGTTTTTTTGTGGATATTATAGTAATTGAGCTCATGAATCACTTGAAGCTAGACAACCATGGAAAACCTGGAAGCACTGGATGGCCGTTTCGTTCTATTGTGGGACTCCTCAGCAGTTGTTGTTTTTTTGACCTATGAACTATTATTATACCGTTTACTATTCTTGCGTTATCCTTAGTCTATTAATCACTGATCCCCCTATACACAGCCACATTTGACCAAATCTTGTACAAATGTTATTTTCTATTTTATGGTACGATGTGGTCAGTTTTCTCGGTATATAAGCGCAGTATGCTTGAGAATAATCATTCATACTACAGAGGCTGTTATTGGTGTTCTGGACTTAACTGTCAGGGCTAGACAGAAAGCAGGACTGATAAGTACTCAAGACTGCTCATATGGTTTTTGTGTATGATTGCTCTGATCGATAATTTGCTCTACTGTAATTGACGGTCTCATCACATCGTATATTAAACAGTGCACGCACTCACTCGATATTGAAAATTCAACTACTCAAATTATCCAATGACATAAAAAGACCAAAATTACTTATCGTAACAATATCTTTGAAAATATTCTATAATTTCACTAATGATCTGTTTTATTGGAATGAAAGATTTGAGGTTTTTTTGGCTTTCATGGTCATATGTAGAGGCTTCTTATTTATTGGGAATATATCTTGTTAACAATTGTATTGACGTAACAAATTAATCTATAAAATCATTAGAAGTATTACCAGACATCTGAAGTATTATCAACAATCTTATTTATTAACAGAGATGGATAGTGGCTAGCAGTGGAATCCAGGACGCGCGTTTCGTCCTATTTGGGACTCGTCAGCTGGATGTACCTGCATCTCAGAGTTGATGTTCACTCTGGGATTCGAACCCAGTACCCTCGCTCCAAACGCCATCGCGTTATCCACTCGGCCACTGAGTCCTGATAGCCACTTGCTTGTGCGATGGGGTGAAGTTTAAATTCAACTTAGTATTGTTTGTTTGGATCTTCCCATCGATTTGTTAGGACTGCAACTGGTCAGTCTCTAATTGGCATATGTGCATACTGTGCGTATTGACTCGATATAGCCTTAATTCACAAGCATGGTTAGCAGAGATGGATGACGAGTCCCAAATAGGACGAAACGAGCGTCCTGGATTCCACTGCTAGCCACTATCCATCTCTGCTTACCATCCTTGTGAATTAAGGTATATCGAGGCAATACGCACAGTATGCACACATGCCAATTAGAGGTTGACCAGTTGCAGTCCTAACAAATCGATGGGAAGATTCAAACAAACAATACTAAGTTGAATTTAATCTTATTTATTTATTTAAACACATAAATATTGGTACAAGGAAGCACCAGATAAATATGCGCCGCACAAATCTCATTCGATTTGCTTGAGGGCTGTGATACTGCACAGGTGTTCGAACTGAAACAGGTGGTTTTCTTAGGGGGCCACACCCGGAGCCTTTGACCAAAAGATCTAATCCACAAGGCAATGGAGCATCGTGAGGAGATGCAGTCCCATGGTAGTCGGTGATCAACGATTGATTCGTACGCCATTTGTTCCCTCAGGATACTGGAGCCCATGTGCACCATTGTTTTGGAATGAGGGTTTTCCAACTCCCCTAGGTGGACTCGCCTTGTCCACCATCCCGGTTAAAGCGCCGGACATTCGCTTTTCGTCCTCTCACTTTCGTAAACAACACCGCTGTCACGAGAAGGCAGTGAGTAGGACTTCCCTGGCAGAGGCTATATATGCGTGGCCATATGAGAGCATTTCGAGAAGGAGAGCAGACTCTCCCCACTCTCGGCCGTACCAGGGCATTTGGGGGCAACAACAATCTGGTTAAGTAAATATGTACGGGGATATTTTCAAACATGCAAATAACTTGAAGCTTATTGTAGAATTCTGATAAATGTATCACTATATATAACAAAGTATGCAAAATCATTACATCTTTACTAAACAGAATAATATTAACTTGGTTTATTTTGTAATGTTTTTATTTAAGGGTCCCAAATAAGATGATATACTACCTGGATTTCACCGATAACTATTTTCCATTCATTCTATGAAGACTTTTTTCATAAAATTAGTGACTTTAAAAAAAATATAAATTATAGCAACCATCCTACAATCAATTCCAATTATGGTTAATTTCGGTTAAGCCTTTTTATGAACTTACTTAACAGACATCGTCATTTGGATAATAACAATTTGCATATTCTTTTTACTGTTATGACCACCAGAGAACATGACAGACTCTAGCCAAAATGTTGATTACTTAAGTATCATTCGATTAATCATACTCCTCCCCATATATGTATGCACGCAAATTCTATTATTAGCTTTTGTTTTGATGTGCCCTTATTCAATTTGACTACAAATTGCTTGTGTATTTGCTTGTCACTCACTCGCTTGCTGATATTCCCTGGGGTGCTGTTGACTTTCTGGTGGGCGTCATTTGACAATAAACAGTAGTTGCTGCTTCTCTTTGCCTTCTGATTTTATGCACCGTTAAGATTGGAATTATAACGGTTATCAAGGTGAACGGTCAACGAAGCATGACATTACAAATTCACCCCACAGTACATGATACTGAAAAATAGATTCTTATGTATAATTTAATAAATATTCAATCAATTTAAAATGTGCTATTTAAATGTATAGTTTACATCTTTAAATGTGATAGCATTTATCATAATCTTGAAAATAAACTTTTTTAATGATTTTTTCCAGGTTTTCCATGGTGATCTAGTTTCAATTGACTCATGACCTCAACTATCTAAATTGAAATACTTAACTCATATAAATCATTTAAAATTAATTTTATACAGTTTAACTAATATCAAGAGTTAAACATTATCCATTTCTAAATGACTAACTATACTACTAATCTTGATGTAAAATTAAATAATTCAATTTAATTACAATTCTGTAATTAAATAAAGGAGATATCATGTATTTCTTTTAATAGTAGATTATATCATCTCTGAGATGCAGGTACATCCAGCTGACAAGTCCCAAACAGAACGAAACGTGCGTCCTGGTTTTCATTGCTAGCCACTATCCATCTTCGCTTATAAAGCTTGTGATTTCAGACAATATCGAGGCAGTTCGCATAGGATGCACATATGCCAACAACTTACTTACTTACTTACGCCTGTTACTCCCAATGGAGCATAGGCCGCCGACCAGCTTTCTCCAACCCACTCTGTCCTGGGCTTCCTTTTCTAGTTCTATCCAGTTCTTGTTCATTCTTCTCATGTCTGTTTCTATTTCTCGGCGTAATGTGTTCTTTGGTCTTCCTCTTCTCCTTTGACCTTCAGGATTCCATGTGAGGGCTTGTCTTGTGACGCAATTAGCTGATTTCCTCAAGGTGTGCCCAATCCACTTCCAGCGCTTCTTCCTGATTTCTTCCTCCGCTGGAATCTGATTTGTTGTCTCCCACAGTAACTTATTGCTGATAGTGTCTGGCCATCGGATCCGAAGTATTTTGCGTAGACAGCTGTTGATGAACACTTGTATCTTCTGGATAATGGCTTTCGTATTTCTCCACGTCTCCACCCCATACAATAGAACTGTCTTGACATTTGTATTAAAAATTCGAACCTTGGTGTTGGTTGACAATTATTTTGAGCTCCAGATGTTTTTCAGTTGTAGGTATGCTGCTCTTGCTTTGCCGATCCTCGCCCTCACATCTGCATCTGATCCACCATGTTCATCAATGATGCTGCCCAGATATGTAAAGGTTTCCACATCCTCCAAAGCTTCTCCGTCAAGTGTAATTTGATTGGTGCATATTGTATTGTATCGAAGAGTCTTGCTTTTCTCTTTGTTTATATTGAGACCTACTGCTGCCATATGCCAACAAGAGACTGATCAATTGCAGTCCAATATAACAATGCGAGGATACAAGTAAAACAATAACAAGTGGTTATATCATCTGGGTTTTTCTTTTTACTTCACTTATCTAATTATTATTTTTTAATTAATTCCTATTCGAGAATTCAGACATGACTTGTTCTGGCGACAAATAATATTGATTTTAACATCTAAATTTCAAGTGATTTATTCCCTTTTATATTGTTTTCCAAACAAAAAAAACAAACAAACAGATGGTAACAACTGTTGTTAGTCCCATTTTTTTATTAAGAAAACAAACTAAATACCTAAATACACTTACCATCGAGAATGTTTAGGTAAATTAATGTTTATTATAAATCACAAAGACAAATTCTTTTTCTGTTAATCCATTAACTTAATTTTCTTTTTGATTTGAATATAAACTAACCTTTTTTATTCATCATAATCGAAGGTCAAATGAACGATTCATTTGTGTATTATGCCTATTTTGTTTTCCTTTAATAATAATTATATATATATCATTAATGTGAAGATTAGTTTCATTGTGTTTTCTCACTTGTATAAACAAAAGATAGTTCATAAGGATTATTGTAATAGACTTCATATTAGGCGGAAAGTAATACAATTCAAGTTCTGTGATGTATATCTGAGGAATAATTGAGTTCTTATAAATGAATAGCTATTCATACTGAACATTTATCATGGAATTTTCAGTATGGGGTTATGGAGATTACTATGTTTTTGATTAAGAGGTTTGGCGTTTGAGCGCGAGACCGAAGGCCTTGAGTTCTAATCTATAGATCTCGATCGTGAATGATCAGTGGTAGTCTGACATAAAGGGGTTCATGATGTCAAATAAAAACACGGAATTGGTAAAGATACAAACCCTAAGATATGTATTGAATACACATGTTCTGAGGTAACAACATTTTGAAGTATAACGTTATTTAAGAAATACACATCGTATTAGTCAAAAATCTTGAATAGTTTTTAATAAGTATTGTATAGAAAACATAAATACACTTGAAGAATAGCATAACTATAATTTCATGTACGTTTTGAAATGATAGATACTTCTTCCTTGCCTGGAACGTACGTTAAACAGTTTATGCACTACAGTATCTTTTTTTATGTCCAGTATTGATTGAAAGTCATTGTTACTGTTCTGCGTTACATTGCGCTGAGACTGTATAAAATATTCAACTTATAAGAGAGAAACCAGTCTTTTGAAATACCACCATGTGAATAATACAACCGGTATGTAGTTGATTTTTTTTATTCTAACTACCATTCGAATGATACTTATCATATTTTCACCGGTTCCAATGAGTTTCAACGATTACCTGGCTAAATTCGATCTTAATTTAAAAATTCATGTGCATATGATAATTAGTATTTATTTTAGAAAGCATACGCTTTTCTTTGTGTTTTGAAAAATTCATAATTGATGTCATCTCGAAAAATTAAACTATTGATGAATTGCTTACTATTGTGAATCAAATATGAAAATAACTCTTAATCTTTAAAACCTTAGGTTATTAGAGTGAATATGCGATATATTTGCCGGTTATTTATGCTAGGAATTTTATATTGTATCGAAAACATAATAATGCAAACTCCCGAAAAGTCTCAAGGACGTTAGTTTACCTATTCAGCTCCCGCCAGTTCTTAACGAATGTCTAACTAATGTTGGTCTGTAGTTCAAACTTATTTTAATCTAAGTAATCTCTATTGACCTATTTCAATAAAACATTTTAGTTGTACATTTTGTATGGGGTAGTTTCATTTATCAAATATTTAAATAACTGTTCGTGAATCAAAATAGTCTTGGATCGTTGGCCCGACCACTTGCGAATGCCGAAGTATCAGCTCTGTTATAAAAAAAACTAAAATTTTGCTATAAGTGTTTCACGTGCACATTTTTGGGTAAATCAAACATCAATCTTTTATCTGCTTTAGATTTGACTTCATTATTCAACGAAACTTCGGATTATTACATAGTTATTAGTGATATTCGACTTACCAATAAAAACAGTCATTTACAAATTGGGGACTGTATTTTATCAGTAAGTATGCAGTGTTCAGTTTTCGTTATTTATATATATGGTAGTTATAAAACCTTTGAAGAGTTTTCATAATATTCAGAAGCTTATCGCATGCCATATGTCATATTTTTTAAGTACTTCATTCATTTTCTAACAAAAAGATATATCACTTAAATACGTGAATATTATTAACTCTTTCATATGTCTACCCACTTGTCTGTGCTTAATATACAGTCGCTTGGAGAGAATCGTCTCAATTTAGTTTAAGGTCTTAAAGCGATGGGCTACTTAATAAAGCATTGAGACTTGCAATCCATGATTTCTACAATCACTGAACGTTCCTGAGGACAAAGTGAAGTAAACATTTTTGTCCCTGACCTATTAACTGACAGGTTGACTAACGAACGAAGAGAACAGGGACTATCTGAAAACGTTTACTCAATTTATTTCTAATGCGGAATAATTCAATAATGCATATGAATCAGCAAAACTACAACATACAAAGAAGCAGTAATATACAGTTTTGTCCAAACTAGGGTTTTCTAATGGAAAATTGGATTACAAAGGTCATAATTGAATTACAGCAATTAAGAAATAGAAAAGTATATAACATTGATTTACACATTAAACGAAAGCTTGTGGTTTAAAACAGGGACAAAACTAAATGCTAGTACTTTATAGACTTTGAATTAAGTGAAATAATGTTCTGAGAAAAACCTTTCATTCGTCATTGCTTCTTTATTTCTCTCTCCACATCAAGTATTGAAAACAAGTTCACTTACCGTATACAGTAATTTATGTTTCGTCTAAAAATATTAGCAAACCTTTAACAAAGAGAAAATATCAAACAATTGGTTTATATTTTAAAAAAAGTTAAATTCAATAAATATTGTTTCATATAGTTGAAATCATGAGTCAATTAAAGCTAGACCACCATGGAAAACCTAGAAGCACTGGACGGCCGTTTCGTGGATGCTCACTGCTGAGGAGTCCCATAATAGGACGAAACGGCCGTCCAGTGCTTCTAGGTTTTCCATGGTGGTCTAGCTTCAATTGACTCATGATTTCAACTATATAAAATTACTAAAATCTCCACAAATCCCCAATCAAATATTGTTTCGTTAATTTACATTGAATTAATCATAAATGTTTCGTAAATACTGTTTATTAATGAAATATAACCTTTTCACTTAGGTAAATGGAATCAATGTAATTAATATGGATCTACTGAAATCAGTTAAATTATTAAAATCAACACTATCTCCAATCCAATTAAAAATACAAAGATTGAATAAAATCAATTTGGTAAGTTATACACTTGATCAATTTATTTGGAAGTATTTATTAATTTATTATGAACTATTTCACAGAAGATGGATAATGGCTAGCAGTGGAATCTACGACGCGTGTTTCGTCCTATTTGGGACTCGATGTACCTGCATCTCAAAGTTGATGTTCACTCTGGGATTCGAACCCAGTACTTTTCGCTCCAAACGCCATCGCATTATCCACTCAGCTACTGAGTCCTGATAGCCACGTGCTTTTGCAATGGAGTGAAGTTTGGATTCACTTGGTATTGTTTACTTGAATCTTCCCATTGATATTTAGGACTGCAGTTGATCATTCTCTAATTGGCATATGTGCATACTGTGCGTATTGCCTCGATATAGCCTTCATTCACAAGCATTGTAAGCAAAGATGGATAGAAGTAAGAATATCTTAGTTTTATGTACATAATATCAGTTACAATTAAAATTCCAGCATAAAATTCCTATGGCTTGTTAATTATTAAGTATTTTTATGTTTAACAAAATCTCCGTTTATGGGGATTGAAATTTTATGTGAACATAAGCCTACTTACGTATATAGTAACTGCTGTTTTTTTTGAAAGAATTACATTATATATTGTTGCTGTTTTCTTGACATAGTTAAAACTTTGATACAAAGTTATTGATGACACTTTCAAATCCATTTCTATCGATTTGTAAAAATGATTTTAGCAACTGTTAATTAATTCTTGTCGTTGGCGACATTTTCATGTTATTATGTAATGAACAGTATTAACATTCATTGTCCATTTAGCTACACATAGGACTTGTTTCTCGAAATTTTTTTTGTATCAATGGATGTTTTTATCCCCGATAAGTTTTAGTGGCCTGTTGATCAGACTCTAATTTGAGAGAAATTGTGAAGAATTCATGAATATATATCTTCTATTTATCATCGTATATTACACCTAGGCTAATCTCATTTGTACGAAGCCAAATACAGTTTAATTTGAATGAATTTATTGCAGATACTCGTATACTTAGACAAACATTAATGATGAGAAGCCAGAAATTGAATTGAAGCGGAAAAGGCAGGAGTGTCTATTCCACTTGATAGAGCCTGATCTTACTATTTATAATAAGACCAAGATAAGTTAATGAAATGTGGCGAACAGGGTTAACAATACAGACACATACGCTTATATGAAGACAGTCAAGGTTATGATCGAGTAATTCATTAGATCAAAGTGTGGCTCAAGAAGAATACATTAATTGACCCGTTCAGAAGCTATCATGGCCTGTATGAGCTTGATATAGTACTTTAAACTACATGAACTTCAATATAGTATCTAATGGAAATAGTTATAGAAAATGTCCGAACTGAACACTTGTCATAATTCATGAAACAAATATGTGTGTAATGATCTTGAAGATATCAGTGCTTAAAATCCCTAATATATACATAAATAACAAATTCTAAGGGAAGCGTGCCGTTCTTCTTGAATTTTATTCACACTCAATGAATCAGCCTATAAATATGAAATTCCTATTTATTGGATTTTATCGTTGTTACATTCAAAATAACGAGTTAAACCTATTATGTTATTAGATAAAAAGAAGGCATCACAGAGAAGAAAGTTTTCTTTTTAATGATACTCAAGATGACCAATACCTCTATTTACTACAGACTATATTGTATTAAATTAATTAAAAGTACAGTTGCATGATTAAGTAAATGATATCGGTAGAAAAAGAAATTTTCTTCATTAAACAATCTTCATATACAAAATGAATTAATTCGGTTTAGTAATTTTATATTGCCCATTTTAAGACTGAACCTTGTTTGTTATTAATATATTGCAATGAATGTTTTCTCCATAATTTTCAAAGTCAACTGATATTAACTGTGAAGAAGATTGTTTGTCAGTCGATACAGATACAGATGAAGAAGGTGAAATAATGACGAAAATTATTGACATGGCACAAAATTATGCTTCTGCTAAGTGTACAGAAATCAAAGAACAACTTGAAATGAAAGTAAGTAACCACAGATGAAGGTTTTCATTTCCTTTAAATTATTATTAACGAGTTGAACTAATGTAATCAGTATTTTTTGTATAATAGGACCGAAATAATTTAAGGAAATGTAGTTTTTCACTATACATTTTAAATGTTATTATTCAATTCTTCCATCAAACCTTTGTTACCATTGACAAGTGTAAATGCAAGTCAGTTTTTACACTATTCTATTCAGTCTTAATCGAACAACTAATGGAACAGTGAAATAATCATCCTTATTTCAATTTTTTAAGAAAATACTAAACTGTTTCCTTTGAATGGTATTTTCATACAAGAAAATCTATTAAGAAAAAACAGAGTTGAATGTCTACATAAGTATTGACAATCTTTCACTTGTTTCTATTTACGAATCTTGTGATTCTAACAAGTATCAATTTCTAAAGGAAATTCAAATAATAAATACAAACTAGCAAAATAATTAATGAGATGTCAATTCATTTCTTACTTGTCAACCAACCAATGACTAATCTACATCCAAGAAAAACTTGGCTATCCTTTCTAACTATTTCGTATGCTTACTTCTTCATTTATTTCATTATATTTTCATGCTACTTTAATAAAATCATTTCGAGTATTTCTTTTGAAGAAAACTTATTTACAAGCTGAGATGATGGTAGCCAGCAGTGAAATTCAGGACTCGCGTTTTGACCTATGTGCGACTCGTCAGCTAGATGTATCGGCATCCCAGAGTTGATGTTCACTATGGGACTCGAACCCAGTACCTTTCGCTTCAAACACCATCGCGTTATCCAATCACCTACTGAGTCCTGTACTTGTGAATTAAGGTTATATCGAGTCAATACGCACAGTATGCACATATGTCAATAAAAGACTGATCAAGTGCAGTCTTTAATAACAATGGGAAGATTCAAACAAATAATACTAATGAATTTATAATATAATTCAGTTTACCAATGAATAGTAACTGAAATTTCTTTTTACATCCATACAAATATTATTAGTAACAGGATAAATAAGAGAGATCATATCATAATCAAGAACAAGAGAAATATGCTAATTAAGATAATGAAAAATTATAAAATTATTATGATATTCATCACACAAATCTAATGATTAATAATTCATAATACTGATGACGATAATAACTAACGTGGTAATAATTCAAAGTGGTATAAAAATTCTGATGAGGTGCAAATAATTAAACACTTACATATACGAGTGGACAAACAAATTTGAAACAATTATGATAATGAAGATAAAGCTATTAACGATAATAGCTCTCATTGTTTCAAAACAAACTGGTCTTGGCTAGACCATCATGGAAAACGAGAATAGAATAGGCAGCTGTTTCATCTAACTGTGGAACTCTTCAGAAGTCATCACAACCGATTGATCACTGGGTGGTGATCAATGTCATGCATGTCAGGTCCTTCTTAGTGCTGATTGAATGCTATCGATGAAGTTGCAATGTGACCACCAGTCTAGGTGGCTCGACACTGCGTGCACTATATATATTAAGGTAACATGGTGGTTGGAGGTGGTCAACAGGAAACCCTGGACCCGGGTTTCGTGCTACTTGGCACTCGTCAGCAAGGTGTACCTGTAGTGCAAGCAATGTCGATCCACCTAGACTGGTGGCCACATTGCAACTTGATCGATAGCATTCGATCAGCACTAAGAAGGACTTGACATTGATCACCACCCAGTGATCAATCGATTGTGATTACATTTCGGTCCTACAAGAGGTTAGTCGCGGCCCGAATAGCTCAGTGGTAACGTCTCTGACTGTGAAGCTGAGTGACACGGGATCGAATCCACCAGGGAGCATCAGTTCCCTCATGACTACAGGTACACCTGACGAGTGCCAAGTACCACGAAACTCGGGTCCATGGTTTCCTGTTGACCACATCCAACCACCATCTTACTCTTCAGAAGTGTTCATCCGCGGTCCTACTAGGACATTGCACCGAAGACCTTCGGTTTAACAGAGAGCACCTAACTTCTAGATCACTGAGATGTCAGCAAATGGTAAACCTATCTCATTTGAATTGGTTCTCAGTAGTTAGCAACTATTTTCCGCTGTATGAGCTGCATAACTGTCATGTTGTATCAGTTATATGATAAGTCAGTAACTTATAATCACTTTAGTAAAATTCTTATACGAAATCGTTCCATCGTTAGTTCTTCATCCACATTCCACCACGTGACTCTGATAAATAGTATCATGTAATTGCTTTGAGTACGTCATATGATAGGCTTCTGCCGACCGAGTCCAGGATGTTCATTCTCGCTTACGAACGTTTAAACTACAGAACATTGGGCTGGGATCTGATCGTGCTAATATTTAACTTCAATTCATAATATCGCACATCCGTCTTCCGTTACGAGGGTGGATAACTGTCTTACACCAAACGAGGTTCATGGTTTAAACTATGAAAATTCCAAAATCTACACAAACCCCTTAACAATAATACTAATGATAATAATGTGTCTAACTGACATGACAACTTTGTTAGTACTGTCGATGGAGTTATCACAACTATTCAGAATCTGGTGGCAATGATGAAAAGAAAACATAAAGCTAATACGTCGAAAAATAGCAATCACTAAAGCAGTCTGAAATTATTTTTGTAGTCACTGTTTATATTTCATTACTATAGAAACTAAAGGCATTGTAGCAAACAAAAGTTTTGTTTCTATGTTATCAGTACTTAAACATACACACTTGTATTCCGTTAGTATTATGTATGTAATAATCTAACAGTACACTGAGAAGACGACGTTTATCAAAACCATGTGAAGTATTACTATCATAAGTGTGACATTTAGATAACGATTCAATTCATAAAGTGAAGTTTTCTAAGATATATATGAAATACATTACAGTAATCAGTGAGAAATATTATATTACGAGTTGTGTTCTGAAATCCATAAACTCAGTATGGAAGTTTTTTTCTGATGAAGAGTAGAATAATATTCAGCTCCAAAAGATTAGGTACTCTATCCTTACAAACGTTATATAGATAAAAACAAGTAGTCACCGCATCCATATAGCGTTAGTTGAATAGTGAAGTAAACGTGAAGTCTCACAATACGGAATGAATTAAGCAACCATCATAAAATGGAAAGCATGAGATAGCTGTTTCGTCCTAGTTTGAACTTCCACGGCTCTGGGCACATAAATCTATCAGGGCTCAAACATACAATCTTCAAGCATTGTGATAAACATTGAGCGTTCAGACATATTGATCTTCAAAAACAGTTAAACTTCTACAATCTGATAAGAGATTATCAACTTTCATCCTTCTGTAACGCTTATCGAAAATACAACCGGGTTAAAGTATTCATCAAAAACTAGATTTAATAGTATTAGGTAGGAAAGAAAATTCTTAGATTCTTTCAGAGTCTAGCTATGCGAAAATCCGTAGTATCGTTGTGTATTGAAAACAATGTGCATTTGAACTGAACTCAATTAAATTTTAATCTATAATATCATAGTTGGTGTATGCTCAATGTTATCTGAATATCCGTGATTTTATGTTTGAATTTATTTCCTTTAACTTTTTTTTCTTATGTAACTAATCTAGCTAATCACAGTCTGATTAAATTGTTCAGTGTATACATACTGCTCTAATACTTTGAAAGTTACCGGAGTCTAAAAGGTTTCATTTCCCCTCATTAACAGAATCTGTAAATTCGATGGATAGAAATTAAATAACAATCCATAGATAATTGAGAATTACATCTACGTAGAAATTGATTACGAGTTGACCTTTCAATCTGATTATTATAAAGGGCAAGAAGAATATGATTAAATATAGAAAGCTTAAGTTCTGGTACTGATGATTATCGATCTAAGATTCTATCCCTGAAATTAGTATGAGAGGAGGGAATTAACTCTGTGTAAATCAAAGGAGTTGAAATGAAACCAAATGTGGTAACAACTACTGGTTAGATATACAAATTAACGGGATGTCAGATGCAAAGTAAGGTATGATATGTGTATACATCAGTTCAAGTTGCCACAACCCATTAGCGAAGTAAGGTGAAAATGTCAGGGTCAATCCCACAGTAATTGAGCTAGCAACAGTATCGATGGTAACAGAAAGATTAGTCATCGAAGATATAATTCAAGAAAAACAGGACTATAAAAATTATGAGGAATTCAGAAGCTGATAATATTGAAGATGATAAAAATTTAATGAACCCCAACCGGTTAGTGTACATCTATTTACATGGCACAGTCCAGTTGCCAACAACATTATCGATGGCCACCCCTAGCTTTTTTCCAGCCCACTCGCAAGTCAACAATATCACCCGCTGAAGTAGGCTGTGGATAGGCATACGTCACACATGTCCCAACCAACATAATTGATGAAGATTTACTATTTTATCAATCAATTTGCCATCTTTACCTAGTACTATATTCTTAATCTGAGTATTATTTACTTGGTGAAACCAAAGTACACAAAAAATGTTTCGAAGATATCTATGATCGAATGCTAGTGACTTATTTTTAATGGTTATGTTTCACAATCATGAAGAGGAGCAATGAAAATTTCTGTGAAGTGAATTTCTCATTTGGTCATCAGATGAATATCTCGCCTACGGCACAAGCGGTGCAAGTTTGCAAAAGCCAACAGAAACTTCTGAATAGGTGCCGAGATTTCATTAGATACCATAATATCAGGACCAATAAGACTCCCAAAATAAGTGATGCAGTCAATAAGTTCAACTATTTCACTCTCTATCACTAAGTCAGTGCTGATGCATGCCAATCCAGAAACAACATTTCGTAGTTGGAGAGGGAATCGCATCCCGAACATCAGATTAACGGAAAGATGACCAATTAAACCGTAAAATAAGAAAATGTACATGGTAGTTTTGAACAGAAAGTTATTTACTCGTCACAGCTGTTAAATCCCTAAAAACAAACATCAATATTCACAAATAATATAAATTATTTTGGAAGCATGATTAGATATTCTTTAAGATAAAGTTTACGTTAATTGCTGAATACCTATTTCCTATAGTAATTAAATTCATCTTAGAATAAAACGATGAACCACAAACAAAGTTAATTATAAATAACCGCTATCATCAAAAGAAAAATCCAAAACTGTGTATAAAGTTCATTGTACTGTATGCTACTTATGTTGGCATAAGTAGTATATAACGCCAATCAGAAATGGAATATCTGACAGTATCAGGTTGAGAAGATCGAATCGAATAGAACGGGGAAAAAGAGTAATTGATATGGAAAATGAAAGAACAATAAAGTCTGAAACAATTAATGAACATTTTGCAAATGAAGGACTGAACGTATAGTTTCCACATTTTATCAAATAACTCTTTAATTCTGTGTTGAAATGTAATCGGTTGCCCCCATGTATCTTCTCGTTTATTAAGATCAAAAAATAATGTTCAAAATGTTTGTCTAATTAGTACATATAAGTTTTCTGTTATTTTGTAAAATTATTTGGGAATTATAGTAAATGGATCATGGGATATTTTTTAAATTTATCATATAAATAATAAACCATGAACTATCTAGCTATGTAATTCATCATTTTCACAGAGAAGATCTAGTCGGTTATTTCATTTGTGTAACCGGTTACATGTTAGTTATATTTTTTATTTACTTACTTACTTAGGCCTGTTACTTCCAATGGAGCATAGGCCACCGACCAGCATTCTCCAACCCACTCTGTCCTGGGTCTACCTTTCTAGTTCTATCCAACTTTTGTTCATTCTCCTCATGTCTGTCTTCATTTCTCAGTGTAATGTGTTCTTTGGTCTGTCTATTATTTATTATCTATTATTATGTGAATAGAATCTGGTATTTTATCCAGCAAGGTCATTAAACCTAAACCAAAATACTGTTCATAAGTTACGTAATGATAGAATTAATGTTATTCAATCCTTTATATACAAAAAAAGGTTGGATATTGATGAAGATTAACAACAACAACAAACTTTTATCGTTAGCAATTGAAATGTTTTTTGGAATGGAACAATACCTAATTCATTCCATTTAAAAATTGTTAAATATTATTGATTAATTTACTTTGTATTGTTTGTTTGAATCTTCCCATTGATGTTTTAGGACTGTAATTGATCAGTCACTTATTGGCATATGTGTGTACTGTGCGTATTGCCTCGATTTAACCTTCATTCACAAGCACTATAAGCAAAGATGGATATTGGCTAGCAGTGAAATCCAGGACGCGCGTTTCGTCCTACTCGGGACTCGTCAGCTGGGTGTATCCGAATCCCAGAGTTGATGTTCACCCCAAGACTCGGACCCACTATCGTTTGCTTCAAACACCATTGCGTTATCCACTCAGCTACTGAATCCTATTAGTCACTTGCTTGTGCAATGGGGTGAAGTTTAAATTCACTAGGTATTATTTACTTGTATCTTCCCATTGACGTTTAGGACAGCAATCGATCAGTCTCTTATTGACATACATGCATATTGTACGTATTGCCTCGATTCAACCTTAATTCACAAGCATTATAATCAAAGATGGATAGTGACTAGCAGTAAAAACGCGCGTCCTTGATTCCATTGCTAGCCAATATCCATCTTTGCCTATTGTTGATTAATGTTTTTTGTGGAATTGTTATATATATAAACTAAAAACATTGAAATATATAATTGATTAATAATTTGTTTTATTACATAATATTATAAAATAAAGGATAATCAAAATATCAATCAATGTGAAAGTGAATTAACTATAACTAATAATAATAATACAACAAATGACATAATCATAAAAACAGAAATACAAAATCAATCTGTGAAATTATTACGACAAAAAGTCATTAAATGGTTAAATATTCATCAATTATTTATTCAATCAAAAAACTATAGATTAAAACATATAGACAAAGATCATTATAAATGTTCCGAGATAATTTCTAAGACAATCAATAAAATTATGGAAGAAGATGATCATATGATATCGGATGAAGATGATGAGACTGTCAATATAGATGAACAGATGTGGAAGAATGAAAGAGCTTCAAGTGAGTTGAAATATTTTTCTATATTTACTAACTTTATTTTTTGTTGCATTGCACTATAAAAGAGAATAATAAAGTGTGATATATATTTGTAAAGTTTACAATGAAATGTGAAATTTAAAGTGAATGATGATTGTTTTTCTGTCGGTTATCTATCTAAGTTTAAGGACTGGATTACATAGTTAATCCGAAACCCTGAATATAACATGAGACATTCAATGAGAAGCTTTAACGTTTAAAATAACATACATATTTTTGAATTGGGTCAGTGTATGATAAATAATTCTATGTTTAAAACGACATGTTTTAGATGTTTCCGATAGAGCTAACTTAACCAAGTTCATAAGAATTACTGCAAAAATTCTATTTAAATTACATATATAGTGGATAAAGTAATGGGATAATCCTTACTCATGCTGTACATTCGTATAATATAGTTATATGGAAAATACAGTTTCTATAATGCCTAGTAAGTCTCTGAAATTTTTAATAACTTTAAAATTTCACAAAAAAAGTATCGGAACTATTTTGTAGTCTATAAATTGAACAAGAAATGAAAGTTGACTTTAATAAAAGGTAATACTACAAGGTCATAAGGTCAGTTCAAGACCTCATCTTCTTTTAAGCAAACTAATTTTTAATATACATTTACATTCTATCAAAATTAATAAGTTGATATATTGTTTTAAGCACAGGAAACTTATTGAGTTCATTTCAATCGTATATAATCATAACATTCCAAAGGAATGAGCTAACCGTGTGGGTAAATTTTCGTTCCAGAAATTCATATTATATTACTTTTAAAAAAGTCAAATATCTAAACTAAACTTCACGTAAATTTGTATCATTACAATAGTGCTTAAATCAAAATTGTTCTTTACGTATGCAGATATCTGCATTTTTATTTATTGCTCAGTTAGAATAATGTAACTAGAATAATGAGATATGAGGAGTTTATAACAGGAAGTCACTCTTAATAGTGTTCTGATTTATTCATGTCACGTCCATGTTCTATACTTCCGACAAACCTTTGATACGTCTTATCATTGGATTACTCATATGTTTTACTAAAGACTAAAACTAACATAAAGTGAAGACCGAAACAAATGAGTGAGAATGAAATTTAAGATAATGTATTACCAAACATGTAATTTATGAATAATCACGTTTGTTTTAGTTAATGTTAGGTTGAAGATGTTTCATTCAGTTAGAAGAATACAATTTCATTGATTGGATTAAAATATGTATCAGTAATCACAATGTATCAGTATTAAATCTCTCAGAACGATAGTACTTATTTTGTTTAACTGTAACAAATTCATTGTACCAATAAGTGATTTCACTGTGTTTCACATGACATCTTTACCAATGTTCTTGATTTGTAACAAATTACTAACCTAATTTCCATTAGAAGTTTTTTTTTTGGTTTGGTGATTGATAATTTAGTAGTAAGTCAAATATCTTAACAAATTACTGGGATTCGTTTGATGTATGACTGATTATGCCATGTTAATCACAATTAACTAACTGATGAAATCGAAAAAGTTCTCAAGTGAAAAAAATCAGAATATTTTGAGTTTCTATATTACTTAGGCATGTCAGTACGCTTTTTACCACGAATAAATATAAGGTGACAGGACCAACTTTAACAATTATTCTCATTTCCTAGTATCCATGATATCTTTTGTGAAACGAACAACTTTTATTCACTTCGTATTGTTTGCTGATGAGTCCCAGTTAGGACGAAACGTGCATCCTGTATTCCACTGCCAGCCACCATCCATCTTTGCTTTTAAAGCTTGCAAATTAAGGCTATATGGAGGCAGTCCACACAGGATGCACATATGCCAAGAAGAAACTGATCGATTGCAGTCCTTAATGACAATGAGAGGATACAAACAAATAATACCAAGTGAATTTAAACTTCACCCCATTATGCAAGCTAATGGTTAACTTGACTCAGTATATAATTGGATAACGCAATAGTGTTTGAAGCAAACGATAGTGGTTTCGAATCTTGGGTTGAACATCAACTCTGGGATGCGGGTACATCCAGCTGACGAGTCTCCAGTAGGACGAAACGCGTATCCTGGATTCTACTGTTAACTACCACCCATCTTTGCTTATAAAACAACTTTAATGTTTTTGTAAGAGAAAATTAACATTGGTCTAAATTTTACACGATAAAACGAATTTATTGACAAAGTTGTAATATAAGACTGGAATGAAAGTGTTTAGTGCATCGGTGAATTAAATAACATATCCTGAGTAAAAGACCTAACAATATATGACTTTAAAATCGATTAAAATAAAAAATTTCAGATCTTTATCGGTCTACAACTGTTTTTACACTCAAAACTACTGAGTGAGTATTAAAACAAAAATCAGTTATTTCGACAATAAGATTGCATCTGGTAATATAGCTTTGAAATAATGAAGTAATCATATATTACAAAAATATTACATTCAAATTAGTCATACCATAAACAGTAAAATATAATCTGTACCTCAACCACAGCGTAGACATCTTGTTTTGTTTATCTGGATTTATATTTACACATGGATGCTGACACATTGTTTTGACTCATCATATATATAATGTGTCTTAGAGAGTTAAGATTGTTTGTAATACTATGTTAGACAACTGAACTGTTTGGTTTTCCTAAGTATGTCAGCCATCTGTATCATCGTTATCTTCTAATATCTATTAAATTGTGTTACAATACGACAATCATTAGTATATATCGTACTGGTGATGTTCATCATAAAACAGTAGCCTTGAGATGACACTAAAGTATTTGAATAAATGAATGTTGATCTTAGGTCTAGGCCTCATCGTGGTTACTTAGCGGCATAGCTTTACCTTTGGTGTTTCTCAGATAAGTTCAAAGCGTTTACTGGGTTCTCTTAATAAATATCATCTGATCGGAGTTATAACGCAATTTTCAGAGTTTGTCAAAAGTAAGCACTCATACTTCACGTTATATGTATGTGGTTTTCTTAATCAGAAGCATTCAATCAATCATTATCCGTTCACATACACCCAAGTTTTAATGTTTATTACTTTTGTATTTAACCTAATATAAGATTCCGAGGCGCAGTAATAAAGCAAATTATGTTCTCTTGCTGTAGCTCTGCTTTAATCAAATAATGTACCAATGGTCCCGATACTTTTCATATTACAGTGTTTTTTCAATTGCTCCACTATAATAGTAATGAATTGCTCGTCGGACATCAGTACATAGATCATAAACTATTACTTCTGGTGCAAAACAATCATGAAAGGATGTAATATCTTATCAGAAAAGGCGTTTTCAGTAACAGCTCATAAAAATATAATAATATTCAGTAGGATGAACTCATTCCTAAAATTCTCATTAATTTAAACTGATTTTTAGAAATCTTTCTGCAAATAGATTGAAAAAAATTATAAGATCTCAAAAACTTTGATGTAGGGATTGTAATAGCCAGCTAAATAGAACTATACATTTTACTTAACTTTAACTTTCATGGTTCATATGCATGATCAAAAATCAATATTTTTGTCAGTGGATGGTTCTGATATATTGCTAATTTGAACAAGTTTCTAAAAATGAATAATTACATAATATACATGTCACTGGAATATATCGTGTACAAATTAAACACCAATTTTCACTTGGAATAACAGTTATGTAGTTAAATGATTTGTAGTAGGAAAATATTTTCCTGAAACAAGATAATTCAACTCAAAGAATAATGACATAACAATTCAATAACTGAGCTAACAATATGATTCGTTCAATAAATACAAAAGTTATTGCTAAAGAATATTAATAAGTTATAATTGTAATAGGTAGACAAAGAGTACATTTGAAGCTTAACCGACTGATTCACAAATGAACAAGGTAATAATCTGACTTAAATGGAGCTGATGATTTTAACAAGAATTATAGCCCCTCAACTGTATTTGGGTCTGCATACGTCTAATTTTGTTAAACCTTTCCATTGACTTTTTTAAATAGACTGTATCATTTGAGTAATAACAGTTTGTCAATATCTTTTTTATCTTTGTAACATCGTTTTTTTTGAACATGTATGCTTGGTCACGTATTACAGCCTACACACATATCCTTCTTACTGGCTTAAATGTTAGTCGCTTAAGTCGATTTGCTTTCCCATATATATGTGCTTGGTAAACTGTATTCATTCATTCGCTCACTGGCATTTGCTCGAATTCGTACGCTTCTATTCATTAGTATTAGAATTTCTGTTGGTATTAGTTTTGTGTGTTTGTGGCTTTCTGACCTGTGCTGTACAACATTAAACTGTACTCAACGTTTCGTATTGTTTTCTGAAATTTACACACCGTTGGGAGCTATCTAATATCGGCTATCAGGATGCGTGATATAAGAAACATAGATTGACGGTACTCCACTACAGACTAATATATTGTACGGAAATATTCGATTATTTGAATTTTTTTCTTTTTCATTTATATGCTGGAGAATATTTTTGACTATTAGTTTAGATTTTCATGAAGTTTATTGAGCATAGAGTTAGATTTCACTATGTACTTTGGTCAGCTGGAAGTTTTAGCCAGTAGAATTCTTCCATGTTTAATATAAAAAGTTAGATGATTACACTATTTTATGAATTAACTGAATTTAGGAAATTTGCACTATTGGATATAGGCTACGTAGTCTGAAATCTAACGCTAACCATATTACCTGGACATCCTAGTTTCAATCTCTGGATAGATTGAGAATCTAAACTGCCGTTGAGTCTTGAAATAAAATGAAAAATACTGTTCTGTGCTGACCGCTTTTTGATGACTCTCTATTTGATATTAGTTTGTGATAAAAATCAATTTCAGGAATGACAATATTAATCATCTTTCCATTCAAAGAAAATAGGTTAAACTATCTTATTCGTAATAGTTTTGATTGGTTTGCCATACAAAACGACAGTAATTTGTCCTAAAAACTTTAAGAGAAATGAAACATCACACACGTTCATTCACTCATAAGAATAGAATTTTTTTACTTCATAGTCTACTTGAAGGAGAATTGTACTTAAACAC